CATCTCCATTTGACCAATGTTTGAAATAATATTTCCCGTCAAATGATTTCTAGATAAGTTCAAAAAAACTAAACCTCTTAAAGCTGAAAACTCTTGAGGAATAGTTCCAACAAACTTATTTCTCGATAGATCAATGCCTTTCAAAAGTCCTAGTGTTCTCCATTCAAAATCTCGTCCTTTCCATCGAACAAAAGCACTGTTAACATACACTTGAAATTGTTTGTTAAAAAATTCATGTTCAAAAGAACCAGCGTTTTCAATTGAACTATTCTTCTGGACTAAAGCCGTAAAATTGTTTAAACATCGCAATATTCTTCCTGAAATGTTGTTTCTAGAAAGGTCCAAAACATGGATATTGGTAAGGAGGCAAATTGTGGAAGGCATGATTCCATCAAATTCATTAAATCGAAGTAGAACAAATAATTCACTTATGTTCATCCAGCAATTAGGAAGCTCTCCTGCCAATTGGTTATCCGAGAGATCAAGCATGTTGATGATGGAGCCCTTAGGAATTGTGCATAAGTGAAAAATGGATCCCGAAAACATATTTTTGGAAAGTTTTAATTGTTTATAATAAAAAAGAAATAATGGAATTGGACCTGAAATGTTATTATAACTTAAATCTATAATAATAAAAGGACGAAGAATCAACTGTGAAGACAAATTAGGAATTTTACCCGTAATATTGTTATGAGAAAGATCTAATTGCATTATAGACATATTCCACAACCAATTGGGTATTGCATCTGATATACCAGCAAAAGAGATATTAAGCACATTAAGAGTATTCTGAGTTTGAATCCAATTTGGAAAATGAGGGCCCAAATGACAATGGCTGAGCTCTAGTGTATACAATTGAAAAGGAGGAGTCCAATCTGAGCTCAAATTGAAAGTCAATGAGTTCAAGGATAAATCAAGGTAATTTAAGTTGGCAAAGTTTGAGAGGTAACTTTCGGTGATTGTATCTTCCAACAAAATTGAAGACATTCCTAAAAGGTTGAGATAGTGAAGTTTCTCAATACCTTCAGGCAGCCTTTTTAATTGATTGTAAGATAAATCTAAATAATAAAGAACTAAAGGTTGCCCAAGGCATTGTGTGTGAAATGCATTCAACTTATTGTTGGCAAGGTCCAAAAGTGCTAAGGATGAAAAAGTGGTATTATCTGGCAAGAGACCATTTAATTCATTGGATGATATATCTAGTCTACGTAAATTACGCAAAGAGCTTGGAATCCCACCACGCAACTTATTGTCATTCAAATAAAGCCCTGCAAGAAAAAACAATTCCCCAAAGGAATCAGGAATAGGACCCTCTAATTGATTATACTGGAGGTCAATGCTTGCAAGACTTGCACTAATGTTAAACATCCAGCGGAATGTGGAAGAGGAAGTGAGATAATTGAAGGGTAGCTCGAGGATAGATAGTTGGGATAAAGAAGAATTATTAAAGATATCAAAGGAAAGCATTGGGTTGGGAAGTTGACAGCTTATCAAGAACAGTTCCTTGAGGAAAGGGAACCTTGTTATGTGATGCAACCAGCTGGTTTGATTTATAAGGTTAACATCACTCAAGTCAAGATGTGATAACGAAGAAAGATGAGAAAGACAATCAAAATTCTCGATTCTCAAATTGTTATAACCAAGGTCAAGAGTATTCAGGTTTGTAAGGTTCCCAAGTTCGCAAGGAACTT